TTCTTCAGAATATATATTTATATTTGGTAGTGCTGTGGATTGAACCTGGGTCCTTGTACATTTTAGGCAAGTGCTTTACCACTAATCAGTACCCCACCCCCCATATCTACTCATTTGTACTCTATAAGGACAACGTGAAATAGGTAGGGTAGGTAGATTTTACTCTTACTTCAGAGATGAGGGTCCTAAGGTTCATTGTTTGGCCAAGGAAAGTTAGCTGGCAAGCAAAGCATTGGAAAGGGAGGCCTTTCTTCTAAATCAGTTCTGCCCAGATGGCTTCTTTCTCTTGGCCAGTCACTGAACAGTTTCTGCTCAGGCCTAGGTTTTCTAGTTGCCTGGGCTACACCACCACAGGACAAGTCTGGATGTACACACAGGTATCAGAACAGTTCAGTGCTATAGTCTCAAACAAGGTCAGAAAGAGCATCAGAAACAGGGTCATTCTAACAGGAAACTTCTTTTTGATGTTCCTACAACTCTATTTTTGTGCTATTAAACATTGTTCCCTTTTCCTTTCAGCATTAAAAATTATCCATAGGTACTGCGATTTCCCTTTTTTAATTGTTACACAAAAAGGAAGACAGTAAGTCATAAAAAGCTGTAATAAAACATCACAAATATTATTCTTGGTCTTTAGCTTTTTACTGTAAAAATTTCTTAGTTTCTACTAACTTTAATAATGTTTAAAGTAAAACTCCTCTCAGATTTTTGAATAAATTATAGCTCAGTAGCATTGGAAATGACTTTAGCCTTTTAGAAATAATGCACAGGAAATAGGATTTATATACTTTTGATGATATAATCAGTGACAGACTGCACATATTAAATTTTTTTTAATTTAAAAAAGTTTTACTTAATCACTTAAATAAAAAAACATTAAAATAATCTCTATATATACTTACAAAGGATGTTACAGTTTGAAACAGTCTCTTGTAATTTTGATAAGATGAACACAATATATCCACGATGTTCTAACAGCATGGAAATATTAAAAACTAAAGACTTCAAACCCTTGGTAAAACCAGAGGAGTTAAAACCTTATTGTGAGTGTATTCACATCAATCAACCACTTTTATGGACTGAATGCTTGTGAGAGACTGGGTGTGGGCTGATCTGGTTCCGAGAGATCTAGAAGCTGAGGTACTACTGTCAGGATGAATGGTCCGAGGATATTTTGCAGCAGTTGCTTGGGGAATGGTTTGCTGAAAAGATAAAAATGAGCTTAATAACCTCATAAGATTATTATACTATCAACTCATTAGCTATAATTTAACCCAATAAACATCTGTTCAGCATCCAGCAGATACTGGCAACGAGTGAAGTGAAACAGCCCTCAACACAAACAAGATGAAGCCTTTCT